ATTTATACCCTTCTTCACTGCCTCTTTGAACTCGCCTGAGAACTCCAAATCATCCTCTTCAATTCAAGCAGAGAGTGTATCATCCCTCTTTCTCTCTCTCAAGTACTCACTTTCTCTTCACTCCTCGTGTGGGCTTTGCTTTTGTTAATGAATTTTGCTTCTGGTTCTCGAATTCCTCTTGTTTTACTTGGTTTATGCTTGTAGATCTGTTTTTGATTTCGGGTTTTTCATTTTGTATGCTAGGGTTATGGTTATGTTCTTTTTAATCTTTCTTGTAGTTCATATAAATTAAATCTTAACTTGTGTCTAATTTGTTGGGTTTAGTGCAACGAGAGTTTTGTAATTTAAGGTTGCAGATCGGAATTCTGGTGAATTAATTTCTATATCACATTAAATTTTATCAAGGATAACTAAGAAAGTTAGTACAGTCTAAAACCCAACCAGTAGCAATACTACATGACAAATGGAATCACGATTTATATTGTACTGTAAAATAGTACTATTTTATTATTTTAGGTATGCATTTAGATTAAAACTTACATTAAAATCAGAATTTTAATTTCATAAAATTGACGGTAAAATCGTAAAATCACAATTTTACTGTAAAATCGGTTAAAATCTCGATTTTACTGCAGCTGGGTCATATCTCGTCACGTGTCACCTCCTCCATTCTTCACCTTCTTGACCTGAAAGCCATTTGCACAGATCTCCACCTCCGTCCCCCTTCGGCCCCACCTTCTCTTTTTCAGTGGTGGTTTCGGCGGAGGACAGAAAGAGAAGATGAACAGCCCAGCTCGAGAAGACGACAAGCCGGGGGAGGTTTTCCTCGACAAATCCAATATCATGCACGAAGTCACTGTCGACGAAGAAGGTCTTTTCTCTCTCCACTTGGATGCGTTGAGTTTGCTCTTACGATTCTTAAATTGATATATTTCTTTTTCTGTGGATTCAGATCGTCCTGATGTTGAGGATGAAGAACACTCCGACTCTGAAAATATGGGTGCCAACGGTATGTGTTGTTTTGGATGCGTAGAGTTTGCTCTTATGATTCTTAAATTGATATCTTTCTTTTTCTGTGGATTCAGATCTTCCTGATGTTGACCATGAAGAACACTCCGACTCTGAAAATATGGGTGCCGACGGTATGTGTTGTTTTGGAATTAGTTTGTTCTCTTATTTTATTTTATTTTATTTTATCATTTTTATGTTACGTCAGGTTGTTTTTTTTTTTTTTTTGGTTAAACCCCCATTTTGGTCCCTCAACTATTGTACGGACCCCTGATTTAGTCCCTCAACTCAAAAACTCCCTGATTTGATCCCTCCGTTAAAAATCTACTTACTTGGCACATTATGTGACGGAAGAACGATGACACATCAAAACACATTAATACAACGTGGCAAAAAATGATAACATGTCAAATGAAATAACAATTGTGCCCTTCTAATTAAACTAAATTATAACTTTGCCCTAAGATGAAATAACAATTTTGCCATCATCTTCTTCCTCTCATCTTGTCATACTCCAAAATCAGCAGCATGGCACCGACTCTAAAAATTGGCAAATCAACATACTCCAAGCAAATTACATCTTCTAAAAGTAACTTGTTTTTCTTTTATTCTCTTAATTATATTCTTAATGGCTGTTGAAAGTTACAGAACGCAAGTAAAAACCTAGATCTGGTTTACCATATTGCTCTTTTTTTCATCCCTATCTCATCAAAGACTTCACAGTTCGGATCTAGAGACGTTTGAGAGTTCAATCTCTAAGTCCTTTTATTTTCTCTCTCCTTTCCTGAACACCAAATCTGGGTTCAGTGAACCCATCAACACACAACACCTAAATCGCATGAGGAACCCACCATGCCGTGCAACAATCGCACCCAAACCCCATCGACCTACCTTCTCGATAGTATAGCAATAAAAGCATACCCACTTCTTAGATAAACAGGAATCAAGAGAATAAAATAACTGAAATAGGAAAGCTACAAAACCCAGATCCATAATAAAGAAACCTAGATCCATAACAAAAGGAGAAATCCAGATCGCATCAAACCCAGATCGCATGAGGAACCCAACGACGTTGCTGGGTTCGATCGATGAACCCAGGAGCGCCTGCTGGGTTCATCGATTGAACCCAAGAGGAACTCAGCGCTCTTGGGTTCATTGATCGAACCCAGCAACGATGAACCCAGGAGCGCTTGTTGGGTTCATCGATTGAACCCAGGAGGAACCCAGCAGGCACTGTTGGGTTCGATCGATGAACCCAGCGGCGCCGTTGGGTTCATTCATCGATCGAACCCAACAACGTCGCTGCGTTCCTCCTGGGTTCAAATCGATGAACCCAACAGCACTCCTAGGTTCATCAACGAGGATCTAGGGAAGATGATGAATGCTAGAGATTGAAATGAATGGATAACAAAAGGAAAATGGAAAGAAATTGATGTGTGGTTGAAGATGAGGTTAAAAATGTAATTTTAGTTTTATAATTAATTTTAAATATTTTAATTTTTATTAAAAATTACGTGTCAAGTTTTTTTGCCATGTTGTCAATCCTACATGTCAAAATATTTTTACATGTCATCATTTTTGGTCAACTAATGGGACATGTAAGCAGATTTTTAACGGAGGGACCAAATCGGGGTAAAAATGGTAAACAGTAGGGACTAAATCAGGGATTTTTTGAGTTAAGGGACTAAGTTGGGGGTCCGTACAATAGTTGAGGGACCAAAATGGGGGTTTAACCTTTTTTTTTTTGGTTGATACTTAGAAGTCTAGAAATTAAACTTTAAATTTGTAATTAAAAATATAAATAACTGACCATGTAAGAGATGGCTATGTTTAGTTTGTTCCTTCTGCAATAAAGATTGTGTTATTTTAGAAGTCCAGGTCCAGGCTAAACACACCCTAATACCAAATACTACATGACAATTTCCCAAACCGGCTGGACCTAACTGGTTCAATTTACTTTTCTTTTTCTATTTCGACAAATTAACAACATCTAGAAAAACCTTAAACTCATTAGAAAAATGTATTTGCCTTTTTACCGAAGAAAAAAGGAAAACTATTTGCCTTAGCTTGTTCCTTTTTTTCTAATCCTTCTGATGTTGCCTTAACTTGTTCTTTATGCAATAAAGAATGTGTTATTTTGGGAAGTCCACGCTAAACACATGCTAGTAACAAATACTACATGGCAATTGGACGGTCCCTGAGACCCGCCTTCTCACAAACCAAGCTGGACCTAACTGATTCAAGTTATTTTTCTTTTTCCATTTGGACAAATGAGTAGAAGTTTTCAGTGATTGTTTTTTTTTTTTTTTTTTTTTTTTTTTTTGAGCAGTAATGGCAGGTGGAATAGATGAAGCTCTTCACGATAGAATAAATCGAAATATCCGTGATCATGTTATAGTAGATTTTTCAGACACTAGTATTTTCAAAGTGCCTAACCATTTACGCAAGATAAATGCAAAGGCCTATGAACCTCTAGTGATCTCCATTGGCCCTTACCACCATGGTAAAGAGCACCTTCAGGCAATGCAGCTGCAGAAAATGAATTATCTAAAGTTGGCTCTTCATTACACACCAGAAAATAGTCTGGAGAAATATGTGACGGCCTTGAAAGAAATGGAAAAACAAATTCGCGGATTTTATTCAGAAAATCTGGATCGTATTGGTGGAGAAGACCTGGTAGAAATGATGCTTCTTGATGGATTCTTTATCATTGGGCTTATTTCCCGCGGTAGACATGGGCTTACAGATTTTTATTGGAGAAATGTAATGCGCGATCTGCTGTTAGTTGAAAATCAACTTCCTTTCTCTGTACTCCTCAAGTTATATTCCATGCATGTGGTTCAGGACGGTCGGTTAGAAAGGGATCCAAGCGACATGATTGTCCAAAATGTAATTACTTACTTCGATAGAATGGTGCCAGGACTTCCAATTATACCCATTTATGCCCGGTTATGTCATCAAGGAATTTTTGACTCAGAGGACGGACTTCCAATTATACGACGTGCTGGATATCTAGAAGCCACGCATATGCTGGCGTTGCTCCATGATAATGTAACTCGTACACGTCAACGGTTACCTAGTTCGGCAACGGCAAGTTTTCCACGGGCAAGTAGCCCGCAATTTCCACGTTGGCTGTCCTGTTTAGCAAGTGCAAGTAGCCCGCAATTTCCACGCTGGCTGCCCTGTTTAGCACCGCCAAGGAAGCCGCCCTCGAGGCGGCTAATACCATGTTCAGCATCGCTAGATCCAGTAATGCCTGAAGAGCGAAAATGGCGTTTCATTCGTTCTGCAACTGAGCTCAATGAGGCCGGGATCAAGTTCCAGAAAAAAGAGGGGAAATTGTTTGATATAGAGTTTCAAAAGGAGGTGATGTCGATTCCAACCTTAATGATCGATGATTATACAGAATCCATCTTTCGTAATTTCGTTGCTTATGAACAGTTGCACGGGCTTTATTCCGCAAAACCCTTCACGGATTATATTACATTCATGGATTGCCTCATCAACACAGGAAAGGACGTCGAATTACTTTGTCGCTGTGGAGTTCTTGATAATTGGTTGGGTGATCATGAAGTCGTTGCCACCATGTTTAACAGACTCCGCGACTCTGTTTTGGTCTCAGAAGGAGACTTCTTCTACTCCAACATATTCACGAGAGTGAACGAACATTGCAACAGAAAGTGGAACTTGTGGAAGGCGAACTTATGGCACAATTACTTTAACACTCCATGGGCATTGATTTCCTTTATTGCTGCGGTCTTTTTGCTTCTATTTGCAATGTTGCAAACTTTGTTCTCAATTCTCTCTTATCGTCATTAACCCGGTTGACCATTTGCAATAGAATGTTATGTCTTATGAAAAAAAAAATTATTAGCTTGTGTTCTTTTGAAGTCAATTTATAAGGATGATATGTTGTTTTTAAATTTAATATTTTTAATTTAAAATTTTAAAATTTTAACCATTTGAAGCAACGAGGGTTAGCTGATCTTGTTGCAACAAAGTTGTTGTATTAACCGAAGAGGACAAAAACGGCGTTTAAGGTTGCGTTTTGAGTGGAAAAAAATTAAAAGTCCTTTTATGTCTTTTGGGCCTTTCGGCTTTAAACTGGGCCTCTATTTTCTTTTAGTTTGGGCCTATCTATTTCTTCCGAGCAGTGAGCAATACGAATTAGCATAAACGCCAGAGCAGAGAGGGCTTTCTTCCGGAGTCATCAGCTCGAGCTTCTGCGCCACGATAATGGCTGGAAAAGAATCAGAGTACGACGGTGCTTTGGACTCGGACCTAGTCTCCGATCAGTCTCTCAAACTCCAAGATCAGTCAATGCACCTCAGCACCACCGCCAACGCCGCCGCTGGCGGTCTTGAAATCACCTGCTTTAGCGAGCTAGTCGATGACGCTACCTTCCACTTCCAAATCATTCGTTTCCCTAAACAGGTATCGGTATTTAATTAGCTGAATTTCTGACCTTTTTTATATTCAGAAGTTGATCGCTTTCTAATTACAAACAGATATATGCATGGATTGGTTGCAACTCTACGAAATTCGGTGACTTGTACGCAGCTGCATCGACACGACCTGTAAGATTATAACCTTCAAAATTTAGGGATTAATAATTGATAATGAATACTGGTTAAATTGTCATTTGCTTTGATGGAGGAAACAGAGCAATACGGTCGGTGTGACTTCCATTCTCGGAGGTTCTTCAGATAACACTGGGTCTGGAATCGCTAGGCGATTAGGTGAATTTTTATTAATGTGTTTTGTTTGGTTTCTTTTTATGTTTCTTTTGATTGTGGGCTAAATGCGATTTTTTGTTTCCATGGCAGTGTTAAAAACTGGTCTTAACATAATTCTTGCTTGCAGTATCCCAAAAGAATAGCCCCATGCTTGAGGTTTGATTTTTTCCTCTACCATCCTTTCTCTGTCTCTCTCTGTCTCTATCATATGTCATAATAATGCATTGAAGTTTCCTTTTGGTAGAGTCTTGTCATTTATTTATTTTTTTCTTGGCTATGTTTTTACCTAGTACTGGTATTGGAGAGATTGTTTGTTTGAGTATTCTCACATTCCCTTTACATTTTAAGATTTTCATTTTGCATTTAACACAAGTTTTTAACTTTTGGCCTGGAGCCATATCCAGACTTGTAGGAAAACCGAATGGATTTTAACCATTGGTAGACCAATAACCCTCCAATGTGAATGAGAGTGGCTGGAAGACAAGCATATTGCTGGTTAATTGCTCTAATAGCCCTACTCCCTCTTTCCAATTCAAGTGAAGAGAGGAGTATTGACTAATAATTTCATCTGCCATGGCATATTCTTGCATCCTTTGGAGCATGATGTTGTTGATTTCACACTTACCCTTTTCTTTCATGGGATTTTAGGCAAATGCTGAAAAGAAGCTGATGGAGAAGTTAATCAGTTTGGGATACACGCAGCCAAGATAATGATTTGTGAGAATTTTCTTCCATGGAAAAACCTTGTATCTTCATTGCCCTGAACATAACAGCGAGGTGTGTCTATCTGCACCAACACCTGGTGGTTCTTTCTCCTTAACTCCACTTTATTGGTTTGGAAAGTAAACCCCCAAATGACAAAATACTGGCTATGAGTGCTTTAGTCAGCTAAACTTT